AGCTCCACTGTAAAAATAGAAGCAGAGGATTTGATTCGCCTAACAAGTTGAACTGTCGGCCCAATCATGGAACACCCAGCAGCAGATTCCGTCTTTGTACCATCTGTGTAGAAGCTTACATATTCGGAATACTGACATTGCAGTGCTAAGAATTCCTGAAGAAACACACCATTAGGAGTATCAGCTTTCTTGTATCGCGTGAGGGAAAGGTCACACTTAATGACAGGGTGCTCCCAAGGTGCTCCCGCAACAGTAGACTGCACTACCGGGGGCTTCCAATCGAGTCCCATGTTCACACGGCACTTTTCAATCTCAAAGAGAAGGGAGGCACAATTGTGGCTTTGTTTTGAAACACCCTTTCAGAGCGCATGTCTTCCACAGCCATTCGCGCAGGGTGATCAGAGATGGACCTGACTCTCAGGGAATACAAAAAGACCAGAGAAAATCTTTTCTTCTCAAGAGACAGCTCGTTGGCCTCTGCATACAGACTTGGCACAGGAGACGTGCGAAAGGCACCCGTCGCCAATCGCAATCCAAGATGATGAATAGGGTCCAGCATTTTTAGAATGGAAGGCCTAGCTGAACCGTAAACAATACTGCCATAGTCCAGTCGTGATCGCACTATCGAGCGATATATCCTGAAAAGGAACGTCCGGTCAGAACCCCAGGATCGGTGGGACAGGACTTTAAGAATATTAAGTTATTTGTAAGCTTTTAATCTTAGATTCTTAATATGGGCACCAAAGGTTAGTTTGCTGTCAAATGTAAGACCCCGAAACTTGTACTCACGCTTCACAGAAATTGTGGAGTTGTTTAGTGCAAGAACAGGTTCTGGAAGTAGTCCGCGTTTCCGAGAAAAGCACACACAAACTGTTTTATCTGAGGAAAACTTAAACCCATTTTGATTGGCCCAGGTTGATAGCTTATTGATAGTTAGCTGAATTCGTCGCTCACACAGTGACAGATTGCAAGACGACACTGAGATCTGAAGGTCGTCTACAAGGAGTGAATATTGCACCGATGGGGGGATAGCCAATGCAAGGGAGTTCATTTTGACAATAAACAAAGTGACACTAAGAACGCCTCCCTGAGGGACGCCATTTTCCTGGACAAACACTTTAGATAAAGCAGTTCCTATCTGAACACGAAAGGTGCGCCTGCTGAGGTAGCTCTCAATGGTACGAAGCATTCGACCACGGATACCCATATCATACAAGTCCCTCAGTGTACCAAAACGCCAGGCTGTATCGTAGGCTTTTTCGAGGTCAAAAAATACAGATAGGCAATGTTGTCTATGAACGAAGGCCTCACGCACGACTGTCTCCAGCCGTACTAAATGGTCAAGAGTGGACCGAGACGAACGATAGCCGCATTGGTTCACATCTAGATGTCTATTTAGTTCAAGGAAATACATCAATCTTTTGTTAATTATTCGTTCAAGAGTCTTTCCAAAGCAGCTAGTCAAAGCGATAGGCCTATAACTAGCTGCACAGGATGGATCCTTACCAGGCTTGAGTATGGGTATGATTGTTGCCATTCTCCAGTCCAATGGAAAGTAGCCCTCAAACCAAATACGATTAAAAAGGTATAAAACAATATTAAGTGTGGAAGGATGGAGATGTTGAAGCATATAATAATGAATACCATCTGGACCAGGAGCCGATGACTTACAGTTTTGGAGCACTATGTTCAGTTCGTGTAAGGTAAAGGGGGCATTATAAGCTTCGCGTTCACCACCAGATGTTTTCAGTACCATACTTTCAGCTTTCCTTTTATGTTGCAGAAAAGCAGGCGAGTAATGCTGCGAGCTGGAAATGAATTCAAAATGCTCGCCAAGGATGTTGCCCTGCTCTTCAAGATTGCTTGGGCATTTTCCATTTCTGGAAAGAAGTGGAATAGTGAAAGCATGATATGAGCCATTTACTTTATGAATCCTGTCCCATACTTCCTTGGAAGAAGTACTACTATTGATAGAGGACGCATATTTTTGCCAGCTCTCGCGTTTCGCTTTCCGACGAATGTACCTAGCACGAGCTTTCATTTTTCGGAAAGATTGTCCCGTGTTGGATAACGTCTTAGAACACTCCAAGCTTTGTTTTGCTGTTTGCGACTCTCTTTACTGTCTTCATTCCACCATGGCTTCGGTCGTCTAGGGAGCTGTCCAGATGACCGAGGGATTGAGAGTGACGCTGCAGTGAGAGTATGAGATGTTAAAAGATGGCTGAGCTCATCAATCGAAAGCTGATCGAGGCGAGAACAGGCCAGGAGTGATGACTGCTTAAAAAGGCTCCAGTCTGCTTTTTCAAACTTCCAGCGTGGATGGCGCGTAGGTGAAGACTGCGGAGTGTCGTTACATTTTAAAATAATGGGGAAGTGGTCACTTCCATGGGAATTCTGATCAACAGTCCATGAAAAATCGGGCAGCAGATCTGCGCTGCCAATAGAAAGATCGATGCATGTAGATGACAAGGATGAAGGACTAAAATATGTAGGATGGCCAGTATTAAAAATGAATAATGACTGTGAAAATAATATGGATTCGATTATCTTTCCACGTGTATCTGTACGATCACTTCCCCGGAGGGTACTATGTGCGTTAAAATCACCGAGTAAAAGAAAGGGCTCTGGAAGCTGGCTTAAAAGAGAGTCGAGATCTTGTCGCTTCAGAGAAAGAGAAGGTGGAAAATACACTGAACATACAGTTATGACTTTATGCAACAAGAGACGAACAGCGATAGCTTCGAGTGGCGTCTGAAGCGGAACCTCTGCACATGGAATATGTTTTGGAAGCACCACCGCAACGCCGCCACAAGAAATGGACATGCTAGGGCGGTCTTTACGAAACACACTATAGCGTCTCAGAAAGTTAGTGTGAGATGTATTTAAGTGTGTTTCCTGCAAGCATAAGGCAGATGCCTTATACTCTTCTAAAAGGAACTCAACATCTGCGAGGTTAGTGAATAAGCCACGGCAGTTCCACTGAAGAATTACAGAGCCCATTTTAAAGGATCAAAGATTTCATAAATGAATTAAAGCAATCCTATATGTGCTACACACTAAGGAGGAACCACCGGCTTTTTTCCTTTTTGTTCTGATTTAGCAGTTTGCCATTCCATGTCCTCCTGATCCGAGGAAGGAGCTGAAGAGTCGGCAATGTCAACAGCTCCCTCTGCATCCTGAACCTTGGACGCAGGTTTGCCAGTTCCGACGTGGTCGGAGACCTGGACCACGAGTTTCCGGCCACGGCCAGACCCCGCCGAAGAAGTCTTCGACGTACCAGGCCGAGACCCTCCCACATTCACACTTTCGTCTTTTGACGTTGATGGAGCAGCAGGTGGGCCCTGTTGCTCCGAAACAAGGCGGGCCGCCTCTGAGGGATTTGAACGACGGCCTCGCTCTCCACCTTGAGAAGAGCTACTGGCACGGGGCTGCCGGTCAGCCGGAGGTCGTGCCTGAATCGACTGGGGAGTCTGTGTGCTCCCAGCGTTACCTGGGGCACCCTGCTTCCCCACAGGTTGTTTCGGGGCCTGAGAGGGGCCTGCCAAGTCCTCAAGAGAGAACTGAGTAGCCCTGGACTCCGTACGTAGTGCAGGGCCCCTGCGCACCGCGTCGGAGCAGGTACCTTTAGAAATGAAGGAAAACCTTTGTTTTGCTTCAGGGTACGATAGGTTCTCTTTGGCTCGTAAGGTAAGGATCTCCTTTTCTTGTCGCCACAGCGGGCAGGACCGAGAGTAAGCAGGGTGAGAACCCTTGCAGTTCGCGCAGGCAACTGGATCTTCACAGACGTCGGCCACATGGTCGTGGCTCCCACACTTTGCACATGTCTCCCTCCCCCGACAGCTGCGCGACCCGTGACCAAAACGCTGGCAAAGGAAGCATCGCTGTGGGTTCGGGACGTACGGTCTGACACGGCAATTCAAGTAGCCAGCTTTGACGAGTGCAAGAAGCGTGTGACGTTCGAACGTCAGGATAAGGTGTTTAGTTCTCACCTCTGCACCGTCACGCCTCGTCATAATGCGTTTGACCGCCACTACTCTAGATGCCCGCAGGCCTTCCAAGATCTCATCTTCACTACTGGAAAGAAGATCATCTTCTGAAATCACCCCTCGAATGGTGTTGAGGGTTCTATGTGTGCTCACTGTTACCTGTATGTCACCTAGGGATGTCAATTTCAGAAGCGTAATGCTCTGGGACTTTTTGGCAACTTCTACAAGAAGATCACCAGAATGCAGTTTCTTTGCCTTGTGTAATCAGCACCAATCTGGCTGTCAAGAACCTTCGCTACAAGAAACGGTGACATCTTAGAGAGAGGTTTGTCAGGGACCTCCGAGTGAATCACCATGAATCTGGAAAATGTTTCATCATCTTTATCTTTTACTATGACAGTTCGTTCGGGACGATGCCTCTTAGCGGCACGTCCAGAACTGGGGGTTTTGGTTTGGGGGGTTGCCATAAGAGGCGAAGTTTGTTCGGAACCTGTGGTGTGCCGCCCACCACGGAGCCCAACAAGGGAATAGATAACGCACCATAACAAAAAGGGCTTTGCTGGAAACGTTATGCTATTAGCACTGCCCAGGAAGTATACCCAAGTGTGGTTCTGGACAAGGGGTCTGTCGCCACCCAAGGTTAGCCCTTGCCGCCAGAGAAGTTGAAAAAGGAAAGAAGAGAAATGAGAAGAGTGAAAAGGAGGAGAAGACAAGGGTGAAAGTAGAGAGGGGGTAGTAGAAGTAGCGACTAAACTGAATCATCCTGGCCGGGCCTTACCAGGACTCCCGTCTATGAGAAGCGGGGGCCGAAGTGGTGTATTGCCTCGCCCGGGGGGCCCCGAAGGGTCCAAACCTACCCCGGGCTCGGCTCAACCACCAGGATGCCCTTTTCCCCAGACACGGGAAAGCCACGCACAGCCAGACGTGGGCGGGCGAACCCGCATGGCTCGGGGTCCGTGGAGACGCCACTCTCCAAACACCTGCTTTCACAGGTGCCCCCTGCGGGGTTGGGGCGACGTGGCCGGACGTCTTCTTAGCGGGGAGAGCCGCTCGCGGCGGGCTTCAGCGTACTCGGGTTAACCCTTTCTGCTTCCATCCCGTCCGGTCGCTGCTTCTCGAGTGCCGCTAGGATCTGCTGAACGGCCGTGTGTTGGACGTCGTAGTCTTCGGATCTCTTCGCCTCCTCCATGAGGGGCGGGAGAACGTCTGCACTGTTGTCCGCGTTCGCGCATTCGCAGTCTTCCAGGATGTGGGCCAACGTGGCCCTTTCCTTCCCGCACAGTCTGCATAAGTCTGTTACGTATACCTCCGGCCACATGTGCTTTGCTAACACTGGGGTTATCACGGAGTTAGTCTGTAACTGGCGGAATACCACCGCCTCCTCCCGCGTCAGACGGGGGTGGGGCAGGGCCATCGTTCTTCTGGCTAACCGGTACCACAGGGTTACCTCGTTGTAAGCGTCCATGGTGTCCTTCTCGGGGCGATCCACCACGTCGGCGGCGGCCGTTACCGGGGCGCGGCCGGCGAGTCCACGCGCCACGGAGTTGGCCGTCTCGTTGTGGTTGGTGAGCCCCAGCGAGCCCGCCACTTCTGCGCCCGCGTGGGCGGGAAACCACTTTATCACCGCACTGGTGATGACTCCGTTGACTTCGGCCTTTCGCAGGATGCGCGCTGCCGCACTGCACACTCGCTGTTTCGCACAGTTGCGCACTGCCGTTCGCGAGTTGCACAACACAGTCTTCGTTCTGGGGTCCGCGATGGCGAGGGCTACCGCCACTTCTTCTGCCTGGCTGGGCACAGTGGTCCGCACGCTGGCCGCCATCCTGATCTCACCCGTTTTGGCTCCGATCACGCTGACGCTGAAGGCGTCGCCGATGTTCTTGTAACTGGCCGCGTCCACGAACACGGCTCCCTCATCGCCGGCGTGTAGCGCGATCAGCGCCTTGGCTCTCGCTTCTCTTCTTGATGGAATGTGGGAGTCATGTTCCTCGGGATTGGGCTCACGACGATGTGCTTGCCCAGCTCCCGCGGTATCTGCTCCTGCATCCGGTGGTCGTCTTCCTTGGCTCCGATGCGTAGTTGTTTGAGGATAGATCTGCCGGTCCTGGTTCCCGACAGTCTGGTGATCTGCGCCGTCTGCTGTGCCTCGGCGATCTCTTCCAGGCTATTGTGGAGTCCCAGGGCTTCGAGCTTCTGCGTGCTTGTGCATCCTAGGAGTCCTAATGCTGATTTGTAAGCTTTGCGGATCATCGCGTCGATCTTCTTCCGCTCGCACTGCCGCCAATTATGGAAGGCGGCGACGTAGGTGATATGGCTCATCACGAAGGCTTGAATCAGTGTGACGAGCCTTGCTTCCTTCATCCCGCTTCTTCTATTGGCGACGCGGCGTATGAGACGCAGTGCCGTGCCGGTCTTAGCTTCGAGCTTGGAGACCGTTGCCCCGTTGACTTTGCTGCGTTCGATGATCATGCCCAGCACTCTAATCTTGGCTACCTCGGGGATGATGTGCCCCCCTTGCGTTCGTATGCGGATTTTATCGCAGTCTTGGATAGTTTGCTTCTTGCGGCTCGCTCCCCTGGGTGGAATCACCATCAGCTCCGAGTTTGCGGGGGAACACACCAGCCCCGATCCCTTCAGTTGGTCCTCTATCGTTTTCACTGCTTCTTGTAGTGTATTCTCTATGTGGCCGTCGCTGCCGCCGGTGACCCACAGCGTCACATCGTCGGCATAAACCGTGTGGCGTACCCCATCGACGCTCCGCAGCCGGTTGGCGACTTCGATCATGACCAAGTTGAAGAGCAGCGGAGAGATTACCGCGCCTTGTGGTGTCCCCTCGCTGCCGAGCGTTTTCTCTGGTAGTTGGAGATCCCCGGCGCAGATGTGAGTCGTGCGGTCGGTCAGGAAATCTCGAATGTAATTGTAAGATCTCTGTCCCATGTTCAGGTGCGACACTTGGGGGAGGATCGCAGAGTGCCGGACTTTGTCGAAGGCGCTCTGCAGGTCCAGGCCCAGTATTGCCCTGTTGTCGCTGGTGTGAGTTTCGTAGTCTACTATCTCCTTCTTGAGTTGGAGCATGGCGTCTTGCGTTCCAAGCTCGCTTGGAAAGCCGACGAGAGAATCCGGGTAGAGCTCTGCCTCTTCGAGGTACTGTTGCCATCTGGTCATTAAGATGTGCTCTAGCAGTTTACCCACGCACAATGTTAAGAATATTGGGCGTAGATTCTCGATGTCGGGCGACTTGCGTGGTTTCGGAATGAGGATGGTTTTGGCTTCCTTCCACTGGCGTGGTAGCTTGCCGGCCCTCCAGCATTTATTGAAGTACGCCGTCAGTGCCGTCACGGCCGCGTCGTTCAAGTTTCTGAGCGCTTTGTTGCTGACGCGGTCCGGGCCCGACGCCGAACGCCTGTTCAGGTCTTGCATCGCATTTCGGACCTCCCATTCCTCGATGTCTTGGTCAACCTCGATGTTCTCTGCCCCCTGGTATTCTGGGTGCTTTTCCTTTGGGGAAACCGGGAGGTATTTGGCGTCAAGTCTCCTTTTCACCTCCGCTTCCCCGTGCTCCGCTACCGCCTTGTGTATAATTCTGCTGAGCTTGTACTGTTGTTCTCCCTTAGTCTGGGTGTCGTCGAGGAGGTGCCGGAGCAGTCGCCACGTCTTGCCCAGATGGAGTTGGCCGTCCGCCTCTCTGCACGTTTGCTCCCACTGATGAGAGAGAGAAAAAAAATGCTTTATCAAGTATATGAAATGTCACATTCACGTCACAATTTGGACAATATAATTCTGTTATTAAAGTTTTTATTGTAAGTTCTGTAAGTTGACATATATATTGACACAGGTTTTATTTATTTTTAGGAAGAACAATTTTAGGGAACCAACTACCTGGATGAGTTTGGATAGTGTGAAGTATAAATGGCGAAAATGTAACTGGCAGTTAAAATGTGTAACTATTAATTTATTTACCTTTAAGGAGATCACATTTTTTTCGTCCTACATTAAAATCGTGAATAAAGCCGTAGGGTTGGGGTGTCGCTGCATGCTGATGTTACTGGTTTTAAGGTTCCTAATGTTTATTTTCTTATTACAACTGTTTATAAAAAAAAATTATTGTGAATAAAGAGATAGGTGAATATATTTTGTGTTCTATCACCCATCCACTAGAAATGGTGTGGCGAAGCCAGGGAAAAGGTGTGGCAGTTGTTTCTCGGAGGGAACCTAAATATTAATATGTTTGAACAGTTCCAACAAAATGAATATTTGTCACTTTATTAACGTCAAATAATTTGCGCAATGTAAGTTTCCCTTGAATCCGCGGCACATGCTCCACATCAACGTTCCCCCGATATTTTCATAACTTATTATAATGATAGTCATGTCATTTCTGTTGCACTTAGTTATATTATTATTCCTACCAGAGCTAGGCACTGTGAAGTCCCGCGATCTTTTAATTCCATCTTTCCTGAGATTCGTTCTGCGTAGCTCTGATCAACAAGTGTCTTCGTCACAGTGGAAGTTGAGGGGAAATAGCAAACGTTGTTCCGGGGATATTCTCTTAGGGACGATATTCAAATTCGGCTCATATAATTTTCACGCCCACTGTAGTGGCGTCAATAGGGTCAGCGTCCCCCCCCCCCCCCCTCACTGTCCAGGTGTGCACCCTCTGAGCGCTGCACCCGGGGCGGTCCTTCCGTCCCTACCCCACATGCACTTCGACCCCACTCCCCTTCACCCTCTCCAGCCCCCCCCCCCCCCTCTCCCCCTCCCCCAGAAAAAAGACTTATGTGAGCCTTGGTCGTTTTTATATAGTTATGCAACTGCCATTCCCTGAGGGGATATATTATGGCGCGGATCCTAGGTTAGAAATAATTCCAACAGTGAATGTTGTAGCCAGTTTTTTTTTTTTTTTTCGGGGGGTTACAATGCATCGGTATACTGGAAGTTCACTGGACTTTTCTTTTGACAGCGAAGCCTGTTATGTGCTAGGATCTGGAAAACAATTCGGCCATGGATGTTAACAAAAAAAAACAACTCCCGTTTAAACGGCGCTCGTTCGTTCTGATTGGTTGTGGCAAGTATAAATAGAGAGAGGGGGCAACCTGCGTGAATCAGCTTTTCCGGGCACTATTAGATAGTGAGGTCCTGATCCCTTGTTATCATCTACGGTCACAGACTTATCTCAGCTAAGAGTGCGCTGTGAACGGGCTAAGGGCAGAACGCGGCCGGTCTAACCTTTTCTTTAACTTCCGCTATGCTGAAAAAGAGACGAGTTCTTTATTAGCATCGCTGACACAGAGCCCCCCAGGTCACTGTAAAACCTAAAATTGTCGTATACCAACACGTATACGCCCACAAGCGACCAACAACAGAACGTGTATCGACCTCATGTTTAGCAAAAACGTATCCAAAATTAAAATACAACCAATGGCGGTTTACCACAGTGACCATAAGGCAATGCTTCCTTTAGTCACTAAGAATGAAATAAAGACAATTAAACAACGAAGTCGTGTACGTGTCTTCATTGCAATTACATAGAAATCGTACATATGTCCTATAGTTGTAAAATCGTCGCAAATATAACAGCTTCACTGATTATCCATCTTCACTTGAAGTGCATAGGCTCTACATTTTTTTTTTTTTTTTGTGGGAGGTTAAAAATTCCCCCCCCCCCCCCCGCGCCTACGCCACTGCAAGGTACAAGTGAAAAAAAAGGACTTGGTTCGCGCGCTTCATAGCAGATAAAAGTGAAGAACGGAAATCCATCCTCCTTTTTCTTTGAAATAGCACATAAAGGTATTCCGAAGACGCTTACGTTTTCCTGAGCAAAATGTTTCACCGTGCTTCGGCAGCGCGTTCATGACAGAAGATCAAGAGACGCTGAAGCAATATCGAAGATGAAACCTCGCGCTGAAGGCGGGAAAACTTGAACCATGACCGGACGTTCTCATCTTGTCAGGGACGTTAGCTTGCTGGTAACACACCCGATGGATAAAAATAAACTTATTTATTGGCAGGTCTCAATTGACATAATTAAGAATCTCAACCATGCACATTACGCATCGAATTATATATTCATTAGCGTGTTAATTAATCTCCATGATATCTAAATTGACAATGCGGTGCTAGAGGGTTTAGAACAAGACGAGAACGAATATTCGTCATGAAATAAACACTACGTGCCTGCAAGTTCACTTTTCTAAGTACTTTCAATTTAATTCTCATTTTAGTAATGATTAAGCCAATGAGCGCGTAAAATTTCTTAGTTCAGCTTAATTTTGTTTTCATTTCGATAAGTATTTACCCATGTTCAGCGCACTCCAACCAGTTTTATCTGGTATCGAACACAAATGTGTATAGGTTTGGTTTCCACATGAAACTAATGAAACTCAAAACAAATTTGAATACACATGTATATTGAATAGAAAAGAAATATCGAGACACACAAAAAGGACAAAACAGTAACGTATTTTTTTCTTATATCTCACGCATTTTTTTTTTATTATGCTCCACCATCTGGCCCAGATATCTCGCGATCCAATCCAATCGAGTCCCGGGCTGCGCTGTAGTTATTCTGATAGCTTTTGGTTCGTTCATGACGGTGTGACGCTTTTTTGGGTTCCTGGGCATCATACCTGCTAATATCGCCTTCCTGAATGACAAGTAGGAACTGCGAAACGATGCGTTAGACCTGGAGGCATCGAAGAGCCATATTCTAACGCAGGCAGCCCCCACCAGATGAAGGCAACTGCAAGGGGAAGCAACTTTATTTTTGTTTACGTATACTTTTACTATTCTTCTTTCTTTTTGTTCGTGTACAGTGTCTCTTAT